ATTTTATTGAACAAAACAGGTTTCTAGCAGAACTTACCCTTTTTTATAATATGCCTTGGGGATCTCTTGAAACCTACAATTTGGTACAAGTATGATTATTGTGATGAAAGTCATGTAATTTGTTGGTAGAGATCTTAAGACAACCTGAAATAACTTGCAGACCATACAATGCACTTGCTTTATCCCTGTGGCTCAGTGTTATATTCAGTTTTGCTCTGGAAGGCTTGTGGCCTCCAGCATCTCTAGAAGGCCTGGCTCTTGATACAGGAAGGCAGCTTTTGAACATGTGGTGTCAGAATCTTGACCCTCCTGGTCTGCAGGAGTCAAGAGGACCCAGCCTTACAGAGCTGGACCCTTATTTTGCACGTTCTGTTTCCCTGTGTTCCCCAAGAGTAAAGAGATGCTATTGTTTTGAAGATGGCCTGAAAAAAGTCACAGGTGAAAGAGGAGGAATCTTTTCTGTTTCAATAATTTCTGACATTTTGCTGGCAACTTTGTGTAACCTGTTTCATAAAACATCAGAAAGGGTAGTTCAAATCTGTTCCCTTTCACCTGAGAAGAGCCTGGGGGACAAAGAGGCTGAGGTGAGATATAACTGTTACCTGTAAGGACCTTGGAAGGGGGAGGATTCAAGAACACTGGGGAAGGAAGAAGGCTGTTGGCTATAAAGGGTGGTGGGAGCCCAAGAACAGGTCACTTTAAGCTGGCTGTGAGTGACAGGTTGTGGGGAGACAGAAGGTGTTTGCCCACCATCAGTGAGGCTCTGAAAGCAGCTCTGCTGCTGGGAGCAGAGCAGTGTTGGAGCCTGCAGGGCCCAGGGAGCACCCTGTCTCTGGAGGTGGTGCCACCCGTGTTTGACCCTGCACTTTGCTCTGGGTTTTTCTGTGACGCAGAGCCCAACGTGGCTTCAAGCGACGCCACCAACATGCGGTGCAGCATCGAGCGAGACCGAGGCACCTACGTCATCAACGGCAAGAAGTGGTGGAGCAGTGGTGAGTAGGGACACCCTGCACAAGAAGGGCTGAGCCTGGAATCCTCTCCAGGAACCGATAAAAATATTCCTGCTCCATTTCTGAGATGGGAAATTGTATCTTCCTGAGTAAAGACAACGGAGTATAGGGCAGCAGGAAGAGGGGAATCGAGCTTTTTGTTCCGTGAGGCAAAGCGCAAGACTCACATCCAGTTTGGGGGGTTTGGGCCCTTTTTGGAACTTCAGAATTTCATTCACAGAAAGAATGCTACTATTGTTCTTCAGACATTACCTCTTTCCATCAGGTAACGTGCACATTTGAGTTTTGTTCTGATGAAGCTGTCTCTGGCAGCTTGCATGTGAGGTTTGAGTATACTGTGTAGTTACAGTAAAATGTGGCTGCTTTTTAAACTAGCCTGTGATGCTTCTGGACCATAACAGGTGATTTTCTTACACTATAGTTGCCGGAAAAATCAGTTAATTGTACTCTAAGTGGTAAATGTCCCTCATCTTGCAGTACTGTTACTTCTTTTAAACAAAATAATTGTGACAGCAACTTGTAAAATCAGTTCCCTGGGAGTTTGGAAACTCACTAAACCGAGTTGCTAACTGGAGTGAAACCTGTTTCATCTCTGTACCTGTGGGGGTGGCAGCTGCCTCTGGCCAGCTGCTCATGCAGTACCCAGGCTCGCCACGAGATAGGGCTCGCTTGCTTTTTATACCTCCAAAACTGTGGCAGGAGGAGGAGGAGGCATCGTGGCCTTGGCTGGGTCAGTGTCTGCCAGCTGTGCATTGCAGCTTCTAAAAAGTAAGGGGAAGTCACACACACACAAAATATTATTAATAAAATTAGCTGTGTGAATTATCAAAAAGAGTAAACGTAAAAGAGCATGATTTGCTTGGGCTTCTTTATAATAAAAATAAGTAGGACAGTCAGACCTGCATAAAGACAGGTGCATAAAAGGCACTGCAGTTTCCAGAAGCTTGAGAAGCACATATATGCATCTCTGTCTAGGAGTCTCCTTTTCTACCCAGTCAGTTTTTTTTGTTTGGGGGAGTTTTGGTTTTGTGGTTTTTTCCCCTCTCTACTCTGAGCAGGGACCACGGATGTTTGGGAATTGCAGAAGCCTAATAGCCACTCACGCCCCAGTATGTCTCAAGGCCCTGGGCAGAAATTCTGTAAACTTTTGTCATCCAAATGGAGAGAAGGGGCCTGGTCCTGTTTATGCCACTGTTGTTTCCTGTCTGTTGTTTTCCTTCCAGCCTGTAGTTGTGTAACCAGGAGCAGTGTTTAACAATGAGAGGTTCCTGCCGGCCTTCGAAGCCCTAGATCAGGCGATTTGTTTGTCGGAGCCCTGGGATGTTTGAGGGCAGGGACAGGATGCTGTGATACCACTGACTTCACTTGAAAGCCAGCATGTCAGTGTATTTGAAATGCTTCCTGAGATGCACAGAGAACTGCTGTTCTCCGGGAACCCTTACCAGCACTGAGGCAGGGGGCAGCTTTGGGACCTCTCTGTGGACAGACTGCAAATCTGGCCAACCACGAGCTCCATACGGAGTCAGAACCTCTCTCGTTCATCCAGCAAGGCCTTTGCTGGTACCTACTAAACCAAAACAAGCTATCCATAAATGAAAGCCAGGGCACTTTTTGTGTGTTTGATTTTATTGTACCTCTGTATATTGCGGCAGATACAGTTACTGCAGGGTTTGATTCATTTTACAAATGCCAGCTAGAATTTCTGGGCCTTGTACAAAAAAAGCCAAGTTGATCTTCAGATAAGTTCCTGCTAATGCTTTGGTGGCACTGCTTTGACATTTACAGAGATCTGGAATGTGCCTCCATCGGCACACGTTGAAGTTGAAGGGTGAGCAGGAGAGGCAAAAGGTCATTTTTGGTACTTACAGAGAGGGAGTGACTGATTTTTATGGGGGGTGTTGTTGCTGAAACATAGAATGGCTTCCCACCCTGGTCCTCAACGTATAACGAGCTTATATGTTGTTTCAAGCCCCAAGTGTATCTGTGGAATCATAGCTGAGGAAAATAATGTAACTGACTTAATAAGCAAATGTTGTAGTTTTACAAAATAGTTGGAGAAACACAGAGTTATTAGCTTTTGGAAGAAAAGTTCCTGTACTGATGTTTTACTGCTGATGGTTTCTTTTTCTATTTTAATTAGGTGTTTGGACTTGCACAGATTGTTCCTTACTCAGTTCTTTAATTGCCTAGTACTGTGACACTTTTAAATCTCGGGGGGTTTTAGGTGTTGGAATTTTTTAGGGGTTGGTGGTTTTGGGGTTGTTTTTGTAGTAAATACTTCTAGTTTCTTCTAGGAATTTCAGTATTTATTTCTTGCCTGATGCTGGATTTTGATTGTGTTCCACTTTGAATGGCACTGTAGTGTCTTGGCTAGTCTGTGGCTTCAGAATTTGTCTGAAAGTGAACGTGCAGTGAAACAGCTGCCAAAACAATGCCCCCAGAATTAGGAAATAATTCCTGTGGTTATATAAGATAATGAAAGTAATGAAGAGTCTATATAGTGAAACTAGTTGTTTCTTCAGTGTGGTCTTCAAAATTCATAGAAATTTCTTCAGGTCTTCCACTCTGTTGTCGTCTTCTCCAGTGTCCATAATTCTTGGCAATTTTCATAATATGCGTTTTAAAGGAGGCGCCCAGAAAGGTGTAGAGCAGAGGGTTCAGGCAGCTGTGAGACAGAGCGATGCTCTTGGTGACCTGGAGTGCAACGTCGATGGTTTTACTTGCACCACAGTCAGTAATCAACATGTAGATGATATCCATGGCTCGCCAGAACTTCACGATGTTGTAGGGCAGCTGGGTGAGGATGAAAGCGGCCACCACGGCCAGCAGCACCAGGAAAGGTCTCGATTTCTTAGGATTTGCCGACCTGAAGATGGCGCGGGCGGTAGCGGAATAGCAGATGAGCATGACTAGGAAAGGCAGCAGAAACTCCAGGACGATTTCCAGGATCTGAACAGTTGCTTTTAGGAGTGTTTCCATGTTTGCTGGGAACACAGGGAGGCATTCGTTCCTGTCGCCGTGTCTCCTCACCTGGTTGAATACCAGCTCGGGGACGCTGAGGAAGGCGGCAGAGAGCCAGACGCAGAGGCAGGTGACGCTGCAGTGTTTGCCAGCTCTCCTCTGGCCCTGGGGCTGGGAGGCAGCCCGGTGCCTGTCCACGCTGACGCAGGCCAGCAGCAGCATGCCAGCGCTGAAGTTGGTGGTGTAGAGGGCGGAAGCGAGCTTGCACATGGGCTCCCCGAGCTCCCACCCCTGCGCCGCGTTCGCAGCCCAGAAGGGCAGGGTGAGGAGCAGGAGCAGGTCGGCGATGGCCAGGTGCATGAGGTACACGTCTGTCTTGCTCTTGGGTTTCTTGCAGTAGGTGTAAATCCCCACCACCAGGGAGTTGCCGGCGACCCCCACGGTGAAAGCCAGCGCGTAGAACACGGGCAGGAACAACCTACTGAAGTTTCTCACGTCGCCTTTTTCACAGAGAAGCTCATAAGTGTTGTAGTCAATAACGGAGCTGAGGTCGCCCTCCTCATCCTCCATCCAGTACTCGGTTGAGTTATTCATCACCCAGCTCGTGGCAAAGCTACAAGACAAAAAAAAAAAGGGGGGGGGGAAGGGAGCACCGAGGAAATAATACTGGGTTTAAGTTTTAGAATTTCTGTTGAAGCCTAAGCCCCTTGCTTGAGGTCACTGATACATCTCAAGTTTAAAGAGATTGGATATTGAGAATGCACATGTAAATAACCAATGTAGAGCTAGAGAGGGACAGAGGCAGAACAGAGTCTCAAATTCTGCCGTGAAATGGGTCCAACCGAAAGACCGAATGCTTCTGGTAACCGTGGTGCCTGGAGGTGGCAGGTGCCTGGAGGTGGCAAGTGCCTGGAGGTGGCAAGTACCCGAGGTGGCAAGTACCCGAGGTGGCAAGTACCCGAGGTGGCAGTGCCTGGAGTTGGCAAGTGCTCGGAGCGCACGGTGCCGGGCCGGCCGCGTCGTTCCAGCCGAGGGGCGGTCGTTGCTTAATCTCCTCTGACTCGGTCACAGGGTTGACATATTCCACTAAAAAATAAATCTGCCCATAGCTTTGCAGAGTGGAAATTCTCCCCTTCCTCTCAACAGCCTCTGCAAAGCATTGAAGGCTGTAAATGCTGTTGGAGTGGATGAGGAGCACTAATAGGTTAAAGCTGGGAGGCGAGCAGTGTGGAGCGCCTGTTGTGAATTTTGGGGTATGAGTATAAGGGAGAGCGTGCTGCTCTGTGGCTCAGGCGCTCCTGTAGGTGCCCATCTTGTGAAGCACAGCCCCGGAACGGGCTTACTTTAGTCTCTGTCCCACACTGAGCTGTGCCCACACAGAATTCCTTACAGACTGCAAGTGCTGTGGGTCTGCTGCCTCCTGCAGCTGGAGCCTGCTCGGGATGTTGTGTCAGAGAGGAATCTTATCCCCTATGGAACTGCTCACAAGGACCCCCACAGAACCTCCACTGCTTTTTCAAGTGCTATCTCATGGCAGATTTGGTCTGTCAACACTAAGGCTGTGTTCTCACTGACAGCTTGGGGTGGAAATTTTGAGTGTTTCTGGCTTCAGGCTGTGTCTTAAGCAAGTTGAATCCTACAGTACTTTCTTCTTTTCCTGTAATTGTTTATTGCCTAATTTGCTGAAATTCTTCCCATTGTAAACCACAGTCCTGCAGTGCTCTGTTTTCTTGAAATAAATGGGATTAACATTTCTAAACAGCAGTAGCAAAAAGTAGCTGAGAAAGTGTAATGTGTTTTTCATTCTCATCATCTGCAGGGCTTCAGAATCTGAGGCCAATGTTACTGACAGCAGGTTATCTGCTGTTCTGCCCCAGAGCTACAGTTCAGCTTTTCCAAGCCTGAAAAATATCCAAATTCCATTTCTGCTTGTTAGACAAAGATTGCAATCAAGGGTTGTCAAACTTGTACAATAAACAGGATCTCTTAAAAAAAAAAAAAGTATTCTGGCTACCACAAAAAAATGTGACTGGTCTCATATTCAGGGATACAGACCAATTAAATAGGTAGAAATTAATAATTTCTGCTTTTGCTTGATTTTTTTTTTCTTTTTTTCCAGTGAATCTGCTCTCTGTGAGTTTTTGTTTTTGTTTTTTTTTTTAAAGTGTATTATTTAGGAATTATTTGGTTTGGTTTCATCCTAAATGATTGGATTATTTTTGTTAACATTTCAAAACACTTCCTGTTAGACTTTAAACAGTGATTACTCTTAAGTCTCATAATGTGCCATTTACTGTTGCTGAAGTGAGGTGTGCAGAAAGGAGAAACAGTTATTCTATTTATTGCTCCAGCAAAGGGTGTTCTGTGCCTAACGAGCTGCCTCAGCAAAATTTTTCAGCAGCAGGGGTTAAGTCTTGCAGCTTTATGGTACTTTAAGAAGACATTCAGACAGCAGCAGCAAATACAAA